GATAAAATAAGCCCGCCCCTCAAAATAAGCCCTCCCTGAAAATATTGCAACACAGCCACGCTGGCTGCACCACAAAAATAATAAGACCTCTCCGAAAATAAGGCCAAGTGCTTGTTTCGGAGGTCAAAAGAAAATAAGACCCTGTCTTATTTGCGGGGAAACACGGTATAATATGGTCACCAAAACCGGATGCAGTGCAGTTATTCGAAGGGATTGGTGGATCCACTGGCCTAATGAAGGAAATTTGGTTTTCCTTCAGTGGGTGGATGTTCCTTGTCCGTCTGTCCGTCTCATCAAGACCAGGGAAGGATCTAATGACGAAAAACGTGGATTTAGTACTAAGGATGGTTCCTTATTTTGCTCTTGAGGACCTAAGAGGTGGAGGAGAAAACCAATGCCCCTTAGTCCTAGGTTCCCTGTATGTTCACCTGCCCTGTTTCCCCAAAAATAGATCTCCCCAGATAATAAGCCCAATTGGGCTTTTGAGTGCATGCGCTAAAATAAGCCCTCCTCTAAAATATTTTAAACGCATGCGCAGCCGGTCCCCGCCATCTCCTGGGGGGGGGGAACATGCCCTACGCGCCCCACAGGCACCTGCCATCCTCGTGGAACGGCCTCGCGGAGGCCATTCCCAGAAAACCTAGCTACCGCGTCCTTTCTCTTAGTGGCGGCCGCAAAAAGGGCTGGCAAGAGTGTGCCGGAAACAGAGACAGAACCTCCGGTCCTCTCTGGATCAGCTGATTCGCGGGCCGAGGTTAAGGGGCCTCCTGCACTTCAAAAATAATAAGACCTCCCCGAAAATAAAGCCAAGAGCTTATTTCAGGGGTCAAAAGAAAATAAGACCCTGTCTTATTTTCGGAGGGAAACGGTACCCATTTCCTCATGGCCATGACTGAGGAATTCTGGGAGTTGAAGTCCTCAAAGCTTAAAGTTCCAAGTTGGGTGAGCTCAATAGGAATGTCTTCTTGATCCCTGCCCACCATTGAGGTGGTAATCTTTTCTCGAGCAGAACTGCGGGCATTGCCCCATGCCGGTTTTGGCTACAAACGTCTCTCGTTCACCCATTGCCTTGAAGGGGAGGCAGGGTCCCGAACGCAGAAAAACCAGATGCTTTGCACGGGTGAAAAGGAGCGTGGAAGGGGACTGGTGGGGGCGGGTGTGTGTGCAAGTGGGGTGGGGTGGGGGACCAGCAGGTGTGCACCTCTGCACATGGCGTCAGCAAGCGTGCGCCGTCTGTGCGAGGCTTCCTGCTTTCCAAAGCTCAGCAGATGCTGCCCTTTAAAAATTAATAACTTGAACTGTTTCAAGTGTCAGACGAATCCAAGGAGAGAGAGAGAGAGAGGTAGCCCTTTAGGAATCTATTAACTGGGGAAGGGGGACGGGGGGCATGGGAGGGGGGAGATTCCCTAACCCCCAGAGCTGGAGGCCAGCCCTCCCCGACACACACATATACATACACACACACAGCTTTGCCCTTGATGTGACATAGCCGAGCATTGCTGTCTCCACTCTGCCAAATGGGAGGGGGAGGAGAGGGGAGGGTAAAAGGTGGAAAGCAGAGGAACCTGTGAAAGAGAGAAGCCACCTGCGTGGCCTTTGGCATGCCAGTGCCACCTCCGAATCCTCTTACACTTGTCTTTTCCAGAGGCCTGTTTTTGTGTTATCTCTTGCTTCTCTTTTTTTCACTTTATGCTCCAGATTTCTCCTCCTTTTCTCTCTCTCTGCCTCTGTCTCTCTCGCTGTCTGTATCATTCTCTCTGTCCCTCTCTCTCTGTCTCTGTCCCCCTCTCTGTCTCTCTGTGTGTCTCTCTCTCTGTCTCTCTCTTTATGCCTCGCTATATGTCTCTCTCTGTCTCTCTCTCTCTGTCTCTGTATTCCTCTCTCTCTGTCTCTTTCTCTCTGTCTCTCTTTCTTTCTCTCTCTCTCTCTCTCTGTCTCTCTCTCTCTGTCTCTCTCTTTCTGTCTGTATCTCTCTTTCTCTCTGTCTGTCTGTCTGTCTGTCCCTCTATATGTTTCTTCCTCTGTCTCTCTCTTTATGTCTCTGTATATGTCTCTCTCTCTCTTCTCTCTCTCTCTGTCTGTATCTCTCTCTCTCTCTCTCTCTGTCTGTCTGTCTGTCCCTCTGTATGTCTCTCTCTCTGTCTCTCTCTCTCTTTATGTCTCTCTATATGTCTCTCTCTGTCTCTCTCTCTGTCTCTCTCTCTCTTCTCTCTCTCTCTGTCTGTATCTCTCTCTTTCTCTCTGTCTGTCTGTCCCTCTGTATGTCTCTCTCTCTCTCTGTCTCTTTGTCTCTGTATTTCTCTCTGTCTCTCTCTCTCTTTCTGTCTCTCTGTATGTCTGTGTCTCTTTCTCTCTCTCTCTCTCTTTCTCTCTCTGTCTCTGTATTTCTCTCTCTGTGTTTCTCTCTGTCTCTTTCTCTCTCTCTCTCTCTCTCTCTGTCTCTCTCTCTCTGATGGCGGATGGACATCTCTTCCTGCGCTATTTGCAAATGCCAAAGCATCGGTGAAACTTTATTAGTTTTTTTTTTTTTTTGCAGCATTGCTACCCATCCACCTGCTTTTCCATTCCTTTTCCTTTTTTGAAGGTTTGCCTTGTCTACCCTGTGCAGGAAGTCCTCGATTTAACAACGGTTGGTTTAGTGATCTTCTGAAGTTAACAACGGCACTAAACAAAAGCAACTGAAGACCATTTTTTAAATATACTTAGAATCATTGCAGCATCCGTATGATTTCCATTCAGACACTTTGACAATTGCCTCCTATTTATGATGGGGTTGCATTGCCCTCGGGTCACGCGATCCCCACGGGGAAGCCACAATTCACTTAACAAAACCAGTATTAGGGGTTTAACAATTGCAGCGATTCGCGTAACAGCGGTGGCAAGAAAGGTTGTGCGATTCATTTGAGAACAGTCTCGCTGTTAGGGTTCCAAATAGCATCCAAAATTAAATCAAAGTCCAAGGCAAAGGATTCCTCAAAGTTCCAATTTATTAAGAGAGACATGTTGGCACATTTGAGGAAACACGAATCTGAAAGCTTCCTGGTTTTCCTCACCCAGTTGAAAGTTCAAGATCCTGCTCCCCCCCCCACACACACTCACAAGTCCATCCCATGATCCAATCTTCCACCCATTCAGTTCTTTCCAAGTGCAGAGACAAAGGATGACCTTGGCTTTCTAGAAAGAATTGTGTTATGGCTACTTGTCATCTAACTCTGTACAATCCCCCCCTTCCATTTTCCCACCATAGAAAAGGCATAGTAGAATAATAGAAAGTGTGGCAGGCCTAAGATCCACAAGAAAATACGCTTAGCTCAGTTTTGGTCCTGTAGTTGTCCTCTTCCACTTCTCATTTTCTTCCCCGTTCCTAATTTGTTCTTCCACTCCCTGCCCTCACTGGACACACACTTGACACACACACACACACACACACACACACACACACACACACACACACACCTTTGTTGACAACTCACAGATCTTCTTGGGTGCTCTGTCTCAGGGATTTCTCCCCAGGCCTAGAGTGGAACTGTTTTGGGAGCCACGATTGCTGATGGAGCTTCAAACATTCCCCCAGCCTCTGCATTTCCCTCCCGTTGCTTCTGTATTGAATGTCTACGGGGAGCTTTCTCGGATGGCCTGCTTTTCTTGTAGGGCAGTGTTGGCGAAACTTTTCAGCACCAAGTGCTGAAACGGGAGTGTGCGCACATAGGGGAGCACCAGAAACCGGAAGAGCTAAGCTTCCGGTTTCTGTCATGCGCCTATGCGCTGGTCACCTGGTCTTCCTGTTTCTGGCGCGCATGCATGTGCAAAGAGACGCTGGCCAACATGCATGTGTGCGCTGGAAACTGGAAGCTCAGCTTCTTGGAGCGCGTATGCGTGCCAGGGAGATGCTCTTCCGGTTTTCCGTGCTCCCGCGCTGGCAAACAGCTGGCATGTACGTGCCGGAACCTGGAAGAGCAACATGAGATGGCTGGTGTGCCTGGTGAGATGGCTCTGCATGCCACTTCGTTTTGCCATCATGGTGCTAGCAAGTTTCTAGCAGAGGTGGGTTCCTACCTATTTGGTTCGGCCAAATAGGTACCGTATTTTTAGGAGTATAAGGCACACCAAGATTTTGAAGCCGCAGATTTAAAAAAAAGTTTTTGCACTTTGCAGACCTCCCAAAAATGACCCGTTTTTTTTGCAAAACGGGCCCATTTTTCATCAAAAACAAGGCACGCATAGCCTTTGGGAGGCTTATAGAGTGCTCCTGGGGGCTGGGGCCCCCAAAACAAGGCCCGCTTTTTCTCCCAAAAAATGCATGCATAGAAGGCTTATAGAGTGCTCCTGGGGGCTGGGGGGGGGGCAAAACAAGCAAAAAAAGGCTCTTTTTTTGCTCTTTTTTGCTCTCCCCAGTCCCCAGAAGCACTCTGGAAGCCTCCTAAAGGCTATGCATGGCCAGTTTGGTGAAGGGGGAGAATTTCAGGAGGCCACAAATGCTGTATTCAGTGTATAAGACACATCCAAATTTTCACCCTCTTTTTTGAGGGGAAAAAGGTGCGTCTTATAGTCCGAAAAATATGGCAGTAACTCCGGCGGACACTTGACCATACCGGTTCTATCCTCAGTGGCGCCGTCTTAATTTTCTGTTCTGTACAGGCGCAGAACAATCTTAATTGAAAAAATGTAATTTGTATTCCTTTTTAAATGTTGTGTGCATGCGCAAATTGTTTCAAGTGCAAATGTGCATGCGGGCCAAGCGCGCACACAAAATTTTTTTAGGGCGCCAAACCATTAGTAATGGCGGCCGGAATCCACCTCTGGTTTCTAGATATCATGGCTTAGAGTTCTTGTCATCTCCAGTCAGCGACCATGTTGGCTGTCAGGTTTCCTAAAAACGCCCTAGTTGATTCATGAGTATCGAGCCAATTTTCAATACAAAACTAGTCATTTATTAGGAGCACCATAGGCTTTGTTTGAGATATAGCTGAACTTTACCCCTGTTCCTTCCCTCCCTTCAGTCTGTGTCATAAATCATTTTCCCCAATGAGGTACACCCCTCCCAAGCCTGCTGCAGTAATCTGATATCTGACTTTCGAAGAAAGTATGGAATGCGCTTCCCCCCCACCTTCTCTCAGCATGACAACTTTAGGAGTTGGCATTGGCTGGGGAGTCTGGGAGTCGTATCACAGATTCTCATGATTGGTCCGTACTGGGAAAATGATTTTGCTGGATTGTTATTTGGGCTTTTTGACTCCCGGTGCTTCGAACCGTCCAATCGGATCTTCTTAACACGCTCCCTTCTTCCTCTCTTTGTTGGAGTGAAAGGCCAGTCTAGAGAAAAGAAGGGCCAGGGGTGTAGAATGTAGAAATTGAGCCGCGGTGTCCAAAACTGGATGCAGCATTCCAGGTGTGGCCTTTACTAAGGCTTTATAAAACGGTACTTAGACTTCACGTGGTTTTGAGGCTATGTGCCTCAAAAGGGGTCGGCATCCTTAAACACTCAAAGAACCATTTGGACCCATTTCCCACTGAAAAGAAAACACCGGGAGCCACAAAACCTGGGTGGGCGTGGCCAACTCGACATCACTCACTCCCCGTGGCTCCCCGTGTTTTCTTTTGTGTGGGAATGGGTATCTCCCTGTCTCTCTGTCTATTTCTCATCTCTCTGTCTCTGTCTCTCTCTGTGTCTCTCTCTGTCTCTCTGTCTCTCTCTCTCTCTCTCTC